GCGCACCCTCTATCTTCTCGAGGGCCTCCTCCTCGCCGTCCACCGCGAAGGTGCGCTGCTGGAGGATCGGGATCAGCTCGGCGTCCTCGCACCACAGCACATTCTGACAGAGCATCTTCCGCATCTGGAACAGGTTCGGCGACCCCTGGATCTTTCCGAAGCCCTTGCACCTCCAAATATCCTTCAGCGCAGTGATGACCAAGTCAAAGAACGCCCTGCTAGCGGCCACCATGAGCAAAGGACCAGGACCAGACGACGCGACTGCACGAAGCTTGAAGTCGGCCTGCATGGACTCCGCATTCCCCTCCTTGCTGAAGGATGCCTCTGGTGGCTCCCACTGCACGTGCGCTGCCTCCCACTCTGCGACGTCGGTCACGTACAAGTGCTGGAAGTTGGTGGCGGCGCCATCCAGGCGCAGTTTGAAGTAGTCCCTGCCAGTGGTAGGCATCTTGGCCATGTCAACTGGGACGCCCAGCGCGAAGATGCCATACAAATCACCCATCGACAAATACCATTGTGCATCACCCAACTTCCTGGCCACCATGTGAGCACACTTCAAGAGAGCGCAGTGAGCAGTCGAATTGGTGTGATCGACCGTCGTGCCAAGACTTCTTGCGTGAGCCAACAGGCCCATATGAGCGATCGGCTTGTTCTCGGTCGTCGCTGAAAAATTTGGCCAATCAGGGTTCCTCTTGGCGCCCTTGATGCCACCGAACTTGCCCTCCTTCTTGAAAGACTCCTCCGACTGGTAGTAGACCTCAACTGGGACCTCTGGGTTGCGGACGTCGCGAACCCAGGCGTAATCCACTTCGATGTGGTCATGGACGTCGGTCAAAATGTTCCTCTCGATAAGTGTGGCGTAGGCCCTGTTGCGGCTGCGGTCCTGGTGCATCGCTTTGTCGCTGTCCTTCACTCCGCGGCAGAACCCGTCCTCGACGGATTGGCTGAGCAGAGGGCGTGAGAGATTCTTCTTGAGCCACTGCCTGTACTCAGCATTCTTCGAGTCGTAGGAGACGCCCATCAGACAACCGATGTGCTGCCTGACGGGGGCGGCGTTGAAAGGCGAGGCGGCGCGAAGGTTGACAACCCAAGCAGGTTTCTTGATGTGCTGGAGTTGGGTGAAGTTTTGAAAATCCTCTCTGAACCGCTGTGCTGCGCGAGATGCAACGCCTGGAACGTCTGACAGCATCATCACGGTGCCCTTTGGCCATCCTCGCAGCAAGCCAAGCAGTCGCTGGTACCGCAGACGGTTGAGGGCGCAAATGCACCGTGAAACGAGGGCCGCCAAGTCCGCCTGCTCAGCAATGTCGCACTCGTTGATGCGGTCTGGCCCGCAAGGGACGAGCTCCACCCCGAAGCCGATGTTGTGGAGAACGCGACGGCCGCCGTCCAATACCTCGAAACTCTTGGACATGACATCGTATATACCACCCTCGATCATCTCCATCTCCCACTTGGCTGTCTCGGAGACGCTGCGGAGCAGTGTGTTGGCATGGACGAACCGCTCTGCCCATGGGCGCTGCATTTCCATGGGAGCCCCCGCCTGCCATTTGTAGCTGTCATTGGAACACACAACAGCTGCCAGCTGACAAGTACCCGTTGTGGCCAGCCTGAAGCGGTCGATCTCTTTGGCAATCACTTTCGTGGTCTTCTTCTCGCCCGCTACGTCGCCGTGCTGCGGGGCCATCGCCTTCAACTCCTTCATCCTCTCGGCGAAGGCCTGGCCGCCGTCGTCTGCAATGACGATAGAGCAATAGAACCACATGACCATGCGCACGACCACCACTTCTGCTCATGTCTGGAATGGTAATGATCAGATAGCCACCGCGCTGGGGCATCTTTCTTCCCAGCGTTCATAAGATAACCATGGCTTGCGTCGAAGATCTCGTCGAACAAAGTCTTCTCCACGTCAGGCTCGGAGATCCGGGTCGACGTAAAGCCTAATCTCGTGCAACAAATCTTTCAGCTGATGAAATCGCCTCCGCTCGTCCCAAGGGCCACGCACTGCGTTCCTCGCAATGCGAAGGAGACGCTTCATTCCCCATTGGCTGGTTTCCTTGTCGGCGTTCTCGAAGTCGCTGTTGATCGCGTGGCTGATGTCGTCGTCGCTGTCAACGTTGCCCAGAACCACAGATGACCGCAAATACTGCCTCATGGTCATCATACCAGAGCCCTGGTCGGAGCAGATGTGGTCGGACTTCCAAGTTACGCAGTCCTTGAAGCCGTAGAAATTTTCCTTCGTCACAATCACAGCGGAGAGCCCCTGCCCAGTCATATGCAGCCTCATGTTGTTGTAAGCCTTGAGCACACTGTATGCTGTCTGCCTGAAGGTCTTGCACTTCTCGATGGAAACCGCTTCTGCCTCGACATCCTGTCCGATATTAAGGAGAGCCCGCGCGGCAGCCTTGTGTCGCTTACGGTACTGCTCCTTCTGCTGCTCTGTCGGGGGGGCTCCGCCATCCTGGCACTCGTAGTCATTCATGACCTTCCAGGAAATCAATGCACAACCCCCCATCACCTAAACCCCTCGGCCTCTTGGGGCACCCGGGTAGCCCGCGCGGGGGGGGGGGGGGGGGGGGGGGGGGGGTGGGGGGGGCGTCCTCGGGCGCGGGGGCTCAGGGGAAGGAAATCCGAGTCGCCGACTTGGGATCTGGAGCAGTAGATCTGGAGCAGATCAGAGATCTGTTTCAGGTCAGATCTGAGATCTAACGCAGAGTTTCGAGGATGTCTCGAGCGACAGGTTCGGATATCTGATCCGATTGGGGGGCTGGGGGCGCGGATGCTCGACCCCAGGGCTGCGCAGATCTGAGATCCTGAGCTTGGGGATCTGAGACCCTGGGGCCTGCGGAGGAGCCCGCGCTGCGACGTTGGACGAGTCCACGACGACACCGTACATCATCTTGCAGTGGTCCTGCCTACTGGCGCCCATGATGAAGCTCAGGCGGTCGGAGTTGCCGAAGTGGCGCTTGGAGCCGACGATGCACTTCAAGAGCAATTGCGACGTGACGTGGCCAGCAGCTTCGAGAGCGACAGCACCCCCGCCGAAGTCGTTCGCGTCGAAGGCGAGGTCTGGCGGCATCACCACCTCGCAGCCCTGCCCCTTGGCGATCTGCGCACCGAGAGCCGAGGCGAATCCCCAGAGCAACTGCTTCACGATGGGCTCACACCGACGAAAGTTTCCTGCGTTGAACATGGCGCTCGGGGTGGTGAAGTCGAGCTCGTCCTCTCTGTCGTGCCACACTATGGTGTTGCCCCAAGTCTCAGGGGCCCCGCAGGCGCTAAAGGTGTCCTTCAAATAGCGATACAACCCGTCCTTGCGAATATTGCCCTTCCTCATGCTGACGCACACGGGGTTCGCTCCGATGGTGCGCCGACCGATACTCTGGGAGTTGAGGTCCACGTTCATCCTGATCTTGATATCGGGTGGGCACGCCGCCAAGCCGTCGAGGAGCATGAGCGCGTCGCGCTGGTGATCCTTTTGCGCGAAACTGCAGTAGTTCCGATGGCCCGAGCTCCATCCCCACAATAGCGTCACCAACGCATGAGTGCTCACAGACGGGCACGGCAACGGGCGGCAAGCGACCTCGCGGGCGTCAAGGCGCTGCTCCTGGTTCGCATACGGGATGCTGCCTCGAAAATCGGGGGAGCCAAGGGACATGTTCTCAAGATGCCTGGTCCACTGGGGCCTCCTGTTCGCCAGCCAAGAGCCACAAGTACCCCTGGCGGCCAGCTGGGGCATCGTGCGAAGCTGAGGTAGTGGCCACCACACCTTGGCGCCGTCTTGCTCGTGCTTCCAAATCACGACGTCGACCAAGCAGCCGGTGTCGATGGGGCACTGAATACCTATGGTGTACCGCCTGTTGTCAGAGTAGAAGCTGTTCAACCAATCCTGGCACTCGATGCCGCCGACGACTGACGAGACGAAGATGGCCCCGTCCTGGGCGGCGTACATGATCTGGTCCAAATACGAGCATGCCTGGAGAGCAGCACTGTTTCAAGATGGAGACAGAGGCGGAAACAGAGGAGGAAGCAATGGAGGAGGTCAGTCGTTCGGGGCTCTCTGGACGTCGCCCCCCCCGGAGGACGGGGGGGGCAGGGGGGGTGGAGGTCAGCGAGGAGGGGGGGGGGGCTAACGCGCGCCCAAGGTGCTGATGTTGTTGCCATTTTGGGGCCAGCGGGAGGCTGATCAGCGGGCTACACGCTGGAAACACGTTTTGGGATCCGCCACTGCTGCCACATGGCAGCCCGATGGGGCCCCGTGAGAGGACCTCCCCCCTCCTGCCTCCTCCTGCGCCTCCTCCTCATTCTCATCCTCCTCCTCCTCCTCCTGCTCCTCCTCCTCCGCCTCCTCCCCCTCGTCCTCCTCGTCGTCGTCCTCCCCCTCCTCCTCCTCCTCCTCTTCCTCCTCCTCCCCCTCCTCCTCGCAAGTGCTCTGGTGATCCACGTTCGTTTGTTTGTTCAACAACTCGCTGATGTGCAAAACGTGGCGCACACGATCATAATGATGTCTTAGCTGGGCCCGTCGGGCCACGAAACCCGTGCCGATCGGCCGCGCAGCGCGGCTAAACCTACCACAAAAAATGGCATGCAATGGCGCCCCATGTCGAAAAAACTGGGGTCGGGGCTGGACGTCGACGCCGGGGCCAACCGCAACCTCACAACGTCTAAGCTGCTCGCAGCTTTGCCTACTGAATGCCTTTGTCTGGTCACTGGACTGCCGATTCGACACTAGAGATACAACAAAAAAAGCCAAGCGCACCTTCCATGCCCTTCCTCCTCCTCCTCCTCCTCCTCCTCCCTCCTCCCTCTCCTCCTCCTCCTCCTCCCCTCCTCCCCCCCTCCTCCTCCCTCCTCCTCCTCCTCCTCCTCCTCCCTCCTCCTGCTCCTCCCCCTCCTCATATCAGCATCACCCCCCTCCTCCTCCTCCTCCTCCTCCCCCCCCCTCCCCCTCCTCCTCGCCCTCCCCCTCCTCGCCTGGCAGGCGGCGGTCCGCCGCTCACTCAGCGGCAAACCTCGGGGCGCGCGTCGCCGTCGGGGTCGCGCGCCATGCCGGCCTTGCTCGGAGCGGGGGCCTGCGTGAAGGCACCATTCGGCGGGGGGGGGCCTTGCCGACGACCTTCCTGCGCTTCATGTTCTCCGGAGCGGCGACCACTGCCGCGCTGATGGTGACGTCCGAGCTGCTCACCTTGGCGCAGTCGGCATCCAGCTTCGTCTCATCCTGGATCGCGATCTCCCTGATCGTAGCACCCGGGTCCTGAGCGATCTTGAACCACCACTCGTCGCAACAATGGTGGAACCTGGTGTAGCAGAGGAAGCCGCTCTCGCCGTCCGTGCAGCGAGAGAACTTGTCCGACCAGTTCTCCTCGAACCACTACTCCTCCTTCGTGATCGTGTTGGACTTCGGCACTGACGCAATCGCGCCACTGATGTGCCTGATGTGCGCGACGATGCCGTTCTCGTTGGGCTCGCACATGACGAAGCAGCCCTTCTGCTTCCACTCGATGAAGCCCGTGCTCAGCATCTGCGAAAAGGCTGGCCAGCGAGAACCCAAGAGGTAATACAACCTCCCCGACACCCGACCCGCCAACCGCTTCGTCTTCATCTGCTCGGCGGCCTTGTAGGCATGGCGCAAAGAAGTGAGCGCCTCGTTGAAATGACGGACAAACAACCGCTCGTGGCGATCGAACCGCTCGACGAACGCGGGGGTGACGAGGTCCTCGGGCCCAGCTTGTTTGATCGCCTCCCACAACCAATATTTCGGGATCTGCGAATTCTTGTCGATGTCCCAAGTCTCCGCTTCGGCGCCCTTCACCCCGCTGATGCCGCGCTTCTTGGGCTTGATGGCCACGGCGAGGACGCTGCGCGCCACCAGGCTGGAGCACGGCTGGATCTTGGCGGGATCCTGGAGGAGGCCCCGCACGATGCCCCTGAGGTCGGCGGGGAGCTGGCTCGTGAGACTGTCCTTCGCGCAGTCCCGCTCGAACTCCGTCTTGCGCTTCATGATCTCTGGCCACGTCGGCACTCTCGTGGTAGTGGTGCCTCTCGGCGAAGCCGACGGCTTCTGAGAAGAACTCGACGGGCTCGACTTTTTCGCAGCCTTCTTCGGCGAGGGCGAGCAAGCAACGGGCATCCCCGCGACGACGGTGGAGGGCGCCGATGCGGGCGCGCGCAAAACACACGCCCGAGCTTGAGTCAAAATGACTACGGATCGAAAGGCAGGGGTTGCGCTAAAGACCATGAGGATCACGAGAAGGAGGAGGAGATGCACGGGGAAGGCGGCGAGAGCGACGAGGAGGACGCAGAGGAATACGAGGAGGGGGCTACATGGGGATAAGAGGGATGAGAAGGACGCTGGTGAAATCGACGGGGAGGAGAGGCGACGCGGGGCGAGGGGGGGGGCGAGTGCGGGCGACGCAGAGGAGAACGATCAGGGGGAGGCCAGGGAACGAGGGCAGAATGAGAGGGCGCGATTAGGCAGTTGAACAGATTTGGCGGCGGGGGGCGCATGCGCAGGGGAGGGGCGGCCGAGAAGAGGGGCCTGCTGAGGGGGGAGGGATAAGGAAGAGGGAGGAGTGATGGGATGGGGGAACGGACGACGATAGCGGAGAGGGTGGGAGGGGGGAGGGGGCAGAGTAGAGGGAGGGATGAGGGGCCCGATCTCCTCCCTGACCCTACCGTCCTTCCCAATTCCCCCGACCCTGCTTTCCAATCCCCACCCGCCTCACCCCCTCCGCCTTGTCACTCCTCCTCCTCCTCCCCTCCTCTTCCCGCCTACTCTCATCGCCCTCCCCCTTCCCCCCTCACGACGTTCCCCTTTGTTCCCGCTACCCCTGCTACCTAGCCACCCGATTTTGTTTATTATATATATATATATATATAAAAAACAAAAAAACGTTCCCAGTGGGACTCCGTCTCGCTCGAGATGTAGCCCATGGACGGGGCGGTGTCCGTGAACTCCAAGGTCCACGACTCGCCCGCGGGCGGCGGCACCGTCAGCGCGACCTGCATGGTCTCGCTGTGCACCAGCAAGTAGTTGTCGGTGCCCATGTCGTGGTGGAGCTTCACCGTGTCGGGCGACATGTCTCGCGCGACGCCGCCCGCGCCTGGTGCGTCCGGCGGGGGCAGAGCCACGATGGCGCCCGTCATCGCCGCACTCTGCGGGAGGGGGGCGCGCAAAGAAGCAAACTGGCGCTCCCTCAAAAAAAGGTGGCCTGGTACCACAAGAGGCTGCGACGTGCTGACGCGAAGTTCGATGGATGCACAATCCCGCCCCGCTCGCGAAAACAGATGTGGAACAACCCTGTAAACTAAAGATCCCCCTGGTGCATCGGAGGAGGAGGAAGCGGAGGAGGAGGAGGAGCAGGAAGAGGAGGAGGAGGAGGAGAAGGAGGAGGAGGAGGAAGAGGAGGAGGAACAGGAGGAGGCATGACAGCGAGACCAGACCCCCAGGAAATGTGGAGGAGAAAAGGCAGAGGCAAGAGGAGGCCAATGCCAACTATGATGACTGCGAGCAGTACATGATGAATGTGACGGATGATGAGGATCCTGGGGAAGGGTATGAGGATTGTGCTATGTGCGCATAACATCGTAACATAGTTAACGTTTGTAGTGGTGAAGCTCCTACGACGCGACGTCATTGCAACGGTGGGCTGCGTTCGTAATGCGCCCACGGGAACTCATAATACTATATCGTTGCAGCCTCGTGGACCTAACTTGGCCCATCCGACCCCAAGGATCGGCCAGGTCATCAACATTGGCCTTGATGACGTGCGTGAGCGGGCGGGTGTCGCTATCCTCGTCAAGCCAAGCATCCAGCAACCCAGCGTTGATGCCAACCTTCTTCGAGACTTTCGCCCAGTGCGTGCGCAACGCGCCGGCCATAGCGGCAGGCTCCACCACCACGTCCCCGTTCGGTTTCTAGACTGCCCCCACGCTGCCCGAGCGCCCAGGGGCAAGACGGTAAAGGAGCCGGATGTTGTTCTGCCGGGCGCGGGCTGCCTTGAATTCGTCACCCCCCACGAGGTCGGAGTGCGACTTTCCTAGCTCGTCCAAGGCGTGCTGGCGCGCCAACTCAGAGGCGTGTTTCCGGAGACCTTCAAGCTTACGGCAAGTGCTGCCGTCCACGTCCATGTTCGCTGTGCTCATCGCGATCTCCTGCATTCTGTTGCCCGTCGCAGACATCGGGTTGAACCCAAGTGCCCGCAGCGCCCAATGGCCCACGGGCCGCACCATCGCGCGCACTCGCCCGCGTGGTGCCCAGGACGGGGCCGTGCGCCCTGCTCCCCTGGCCGCCCGCCACCGCCTTGTACCAGAGCGGCGGCTGGAGGAGGAAGAGGAGGAGGAGGAAGAGGAGGAGGAGGAGGGTGGACGAGGAGGAGGAAGAGGGTGGACGAGGAG